GGCGTGTGGCATGTACCATCGAGAGCTTCAATATACAAATGATACAGATTTTTCGACACTATCGCAACGTAATTCTGCTTCATCCGTGTGATTATGAAAAAATGCAAGATTTTTCGGATTTTGACAAAACTCCCAAATTTCAATGATTATTATATGTGTGTAGACGAACCTGTGAGGAATAGCCCATGGCAGAACATTTGTGATACGTTGCAGTTCGGTAATAGTTGCTTCCACATAAGGGAGTTGCTTGCGGCGCGCATAACATGGCTGCTCGTTTCCAAACACCTATACATCCATTTATTTCGTTAGATAATGACTGCTCTTTCATGCACTTAAATTGTACTTCGCGTATTGGCACAGCCGACCTTGCTACCTACCATAAGCAATCATTTATCTACTTCAGAATGTGCCAGACCTGATAGATTTCGTCGTAACATTTCTTCTGAACGCTTGGGTGATAGAGTAGATAAGCGAAGCCCCATCTTAAGGTGGTCACTGTCGTCTCCATTCCACCTGTCCACAGGTCGCCGGACGCCAGAGCCAGAGTAAAATCGCTAAAGTATGTGGCATTTATATTCGCTTATTGTTAAACAGCATATTCCGTGATCAGCTCATTGGAGCACCCTCTCTGATTGATGTAGCTGAATCGGCAGTCGCAGAGGTGAACTCACTTCGACAACCCAATATTCATGGCAAGGTTACTAGGGCTTCTGGCTTGCATATATTCACACCCCACGCCTCGGTGTACGCTTAACGTTGCTTTGGTGTCTGCGTCTCGCCCGTCCCCTACGCTCTCTCGTCAACGAGATTCTTCTATAGCCTTGTTTCAGGTATACGTCCCGTAGACTAATCCAAAAAGGAAGCTTTTCTATCAACTTCAATGCAGGGCCTTGCTAGGTTCATTAGAGAATAGCAGCGGTGCAGAGAATGGCGGCTGTGGTGCTGCTAGGATTTGCTGGATTCTAAAGTTTTTTTTTTTCGAATCGCCGCAGTTGGAGCGTCTCGATTTCCAATCAGGAAATTCGAGCAACTTACTTGAAATGCGGATTATCCCGTTGAATCGCCATTTCTCTTAGATATGCTTCCATGAAGTCACGTGGTTCTCCATCCATCTGCAGTCGTTCTTTATGCTCACGTATCACATTAAGAAAATATCTGGAACATTTTCAGTCTTTCTCATCACTTGTATCGTTACATACATTACTACAGCACATGGCTTCATTTTATAGATTATAACCTTTGGTCACCCAAAATGGTCAAAATTCAAAGGACTAGGATGAGCTATCGGCGAGTATTCGACACAAGAGAAATGGGAGGCGGGGTTGGGGGAAGGAGAGGAAGGACGAGCTTATGATTGGTGAAATCGCCACCACCAATAATCAGATGTAAGAGGTTTTTGGAAGGCATTTTGATAAAATGCCTTCAAAAATTCTAATTCTGACAATTTACGAAAATATCAACTCAACCCTCTAAAAATTTTCAAACATAGCTGCTACTTTGTCTTGTAAGGGGCCGTCCTCTCCGCCGCCCCAACTCTGATCGACGGAATCGTGGAGGACCATGCAAGGGGTCAAACTCTGAACAAGTGGCTCACCTTGGCAGGGCCGCTACCATCTATTTGAAGGCCATCGTTCTTGAATGTTCAAAGCACCGATATTTTTCAATATCGAAAATTCATTGTCATAATACAAATTTGGCATTCAACTTGACTTTCGCCCATTTCGTTTTTGGTATATTTTCGGTAGCTATTTATCAATTCATCGGCGCGCGTTGGTGTCATGTGATAAAATAACAATTTATTCTCAAATGATTCTCGAATGAATAATGTGGTCATGTCATTTACAGATTATTCTGAAATTCCTTTTTCGTTTAGTTTTCGATCGCTTGATTGAAAACGCTTATCACTCATTTCGGGAGATTTTTCGATGGTGTTCAAATGATAACAGCATAACAACGTTTGACGATGTCTTTAGGAAGCTATCGAGCTGAACGCTCCCGAAGAGTTTTAACGTGACCTTTTGATATGAGCAGGGAAAAGACGCGTTACAAGTAGTGTTCAGTGATCACGCTCTCAGTGTCTTATACTGGTGTTTGATCAGGACGGCGAACGAGAGTACTAATTGAAATCGACGAGACGATTTGGGTAGACGATGTTCCAATCGTCTCAATAATTTTGTCGGCATTACATCTCACGAATCACTTTTTCTGGAGGTATCATCTTGTGGCTCAAGAGCAATCATCTTATGGGAACGGAGAGATAGAGTATCAACGGGATCACACCCAAATTTTCTCGGCACGTTGGAGGAGCGAAGGTCATGTGGCATGATCGCAGATTCAGTGGAACCGAAACGTAAAGGCATCCAGCTCGTAAAAACCTTTACTGATTGGGTTTGGAATGGATTCAAGTTGGCTGGTAGAAGCCTATCTTACAGCTCAATGAAATAGTTTCCAGCTTACCTCTGCAGTGCAAAACCGTTTCTCTTTGTATCGCCTGAGGGCTGGAATTGGCAGATAAGCAAGGATCGGGTATGCGTTCACAAGTTGAACTGGTTTCGACGCCACCTTAACAGCATGGGCTTAGCACAACTCTATAAGTTCCCTGAGGTCCAACTTACGTCGGCTAACACAGCATCGATAAGATTCTTGAACTTGCGAAATTGTGGATCACCAAACTCATAAGACTTGCCCAATACGAACTCCTGAATAATGTTAGCTACGCAGAGAGAGATGGGTTCGTCGAGGTCGAGCGGGACTTGCTGAAAGAACTAGAATCAAGAATCAACTCACGATCATGATTTCGTGAAATCATACATTGAGGACGAAAAGATCAGCGTCTTTGCTCAGTCTCTTTGTTCATAGTGGGCTACCCACACATTTAGCTTCGATTCAGAATCGGGTGGTGGGAAGTGCTCACGCAAATATTCGACTAATTGATGTCATGCAAGAACCAGTCATTGTCGTCTTAAAGGAAGCGATCGCGCTGGCTCTCAGGTGTAGAAGAATCAAACATTTAAGAGAAAGGGTCGAGATAAGGGCTGAGATGGAAGTTAAAGGACGAATTCACGATGGAAAGCAACCCATTTCAAATTAACCTAGGGATGGTGAGTGGTACACGAAAGAAGGAAAAACCATGAGAAACGGCCCAGAACCCGAGAAATGGGACCCCTTCCTTGCCCGTTGATTTGCGCATTGATGCGACTCTGTGCCCTCTTCAACACTACGCTCTCTGCTATCTAATCACTCGCCACGTATAGACCTGCGGCGAGTGATTAGATAGTCGGTGGGCGTACCCGCCAACCGCGCCAAGAGTGAGCCATGCTAGGTCGCCGAGGTCAAATCTTTCGCTGCCAATTGCGCGTCAGTCCGCACCCTCAGGAGGTCCGCCGTCCTCAACTAGGTGAATTCCCTTCTTCGACCTTCATTTTAATCGTGAATTCCTCCTTTAAAGGCGGAGTTTACGCCTAGAAGGCATTCCTTTAGAATTGAGGTAGAGGCGGTCTGTGGTGCTGTATGAAAAAAAAACATGAGGAGCGGCTCTCGAGAAGTGGGAGCCCCTCCCTCTCCCCTGCCCGTTTATTTCCGCATTGATACCCTCTCAAAGGTGCTGCCCTCTTCAACGCTAACGCTCTCTCTGTAAACGGCTAGAGACCTGCGGCGAGTGGTTAGCCAGTCAGTGGGCGTGTCGTGTCGATAGCGCCGTAGGGAAGGTCGTGCTGGATCTCCAGGACATATCCTTCTCTGCGAATTGCGTGTTGATTCGCACCCTTAGAAGGTTCGCATGTCTTTCCATTAGGTAGAATTCTCATTCATCGACCTACAACCTTATCGTGGGATTCTCCTTTAAGGCTCGTTAAAGACAAACCTCGGGATTAAACTGGTGCTAAGAGCGCTTCGCAGTGATAGCTTAGCTGCGGAAGCGACGTGCAAGTGGTGAGAGAGTAGGCGTTCGAGAGGGCACGCTGATCTCTACATCAATGCTTACTGATCGCACCACCTCTCGCGTGGGTGAGAAGCGTTGGAACCAGGGACGATGGTTGCAGGCCCGTAAGGATTATCGCCCTGATCGCGCATTGCGACGAAGCAGGAGTGACTAGGTAGGTACGTACCGTACAATTTCCCTCACGGCACCCTTCCTACTAGTCGGGCTGATCCCGCGGTTTGAATTTAAGGCGAGTTCTCTCTATAAAGGTGGAGCAGCGGTGGAAATGCACGTGGAAGCGAGGCTTGCTACTTTACAAATGCAACCTGATCGCCCGTGAGACCTTCTGACCTAAACCGTGGTGAGGGGTTCTGTAGCTCGTAAGGCGCGTTATTTACGGTGTTGTTATATATTTTGTATCAAGGAATGGTAAACCGCTAGTGCTCCTCAAGCGTCAGCCCTACTCTTGTTGGGTAGTCTACAACTATTCAATTCACTTCGTAACTTCCCAGAAGGAAAAAGCAATGGAAACAGTTCAAGGCCTGCAGAGCAAGATCCTCACTTTTCCAGTTAATTCCACCTTCTGGCAAGTCGCCCCGGTAACGACGTCACCAATATGAAACGCTCTGCATCGGCTAGGCCGATGTCAGACTTTGCGAATCGCGCGATTCGCTAGCGTCTGCGGTCGCGTCGCGGCCAGTGAATCACTCAATTGGCTGGTACCGCAACGCGACCGCGGACGCTAGCGAATCGCGCGAATCGCTAGTAGAATCGTCGAATCCTAAAGCGATGCGAGTCGCGGTAACGGATCAGTGGTAGAAGCCAGTTGAAGGCCGGGCAGAGTAAGGAAGCGTCGAAAGAGGCGGAGGAGGCCTCGCCAGGTCTTTACAGACACAAATGCCGGCGAGAGCGCTACGTATCGCCCTTAGGGCACAGAATCATTCATAGTGAGCACATTTGCCCTTTTCGTGGAAGAAACGGCTGATCTTACGGAGGATGGATGGAATCTCGCACTCCCCCTCCCCCCCCCCCAAGTTTTCGGATCGATCTCTTTGCATAAAGCTTGTATTTGCCGACAAAAACATCTCAGTTAGCAACCTATTCCTCCAATTTATTTCCACTTTGGGATCTGCTCCATTGTGTTCACAGCGGTGTGAAAATCAAACGCGTAGAACATGCACAACGGCACTGATCAAAGAGCACGTCTTTTTGACACTGACTGTAATGTCTGAGAGAAATTACGCGATTGCTTAGGTATGGTTCATCACATACAAAAATGAAAGCAGATGCGATAATTGCTCGACTAGTAATGGAAAGTGCAAAGAGCCCCAAAAGCTCATTGTACACTGATCCTAAGGGCGGTTGCTGCCTTTTTTATTGGTCGATCCCCTATGATTGCCTTATGTTATCGTATTAAGTGATGGGCCAACCAACAAGAAGGACCGCCATCTCCGCTTCTGCATTCAACGTACAATGGGCTTTTGGTAGTTTCACTTTGCTCTCCTCATCATTGGTCTCCAGATACCGTATCTCCATTTTCATTTTTGAGTGCAATTGCACACTTAGGCAATCGCAAAGTGTGCTACCAACATTTGAAGCAGTGAAAAAACTCTCCTAACCTTATTTCCCTGCAATTTTGCATCGATGTGTGCAATCATGTAATTGATATTGTGAACGATTTTCTCCTCCATTTGTGTCCGACCAAGACCGAAGTTCCTTAAGCAGCAAACTACGCCCACTCTTTTACACCGACATTTCCATCATGAAGTCCTTACCTGAATATTTTGTGAGCAAACTCGCGAATTTGCTCCCATCGTTCACCTTCGCAAAGAATGATGCCATCACCGTGTTCATGGTTTTTTGTGAACATCGACCATATATATCCGGATGGGCGACCCGCGAAGACAGGTCCTAATGCAATTCCAGCTTCTACATTGTAAGGCGTGGATTAATTCGAGCGCTAACACAAATCGCTCACCCTGACGTATGAGAGCCTCTTTAAGCACTTCGTGGCTTGCCATGACTATCATTGGATGTGGTAGCCAGACCGTGTAGATCGGTCCATAAACGGCATGCCATGAACTGAACGTTTTAGCCGGGTTCCTCATATCGATCTGAACTCATTCAAGTTTATGAACCCGCTACGTCGTTAAATTTGTGCATCTGATAAAAATATGGTTACTTTTGAAGGTAGATGGTGCGATGAATTGCTTGCAGTTGGAAATGAAATGGAGATGATTGAAGGTGC